CCGGCCGTGACGGCGGTCCATCCATGCATCAAACACGGGTAGGACCGCCCCCACGGCCCGCTGTCTGGCGGCACCGCTGATCACCAGCTGGTGACGCCACGCCTCCCTGGCGAGCCGGCCAAAAGCCCGCCTCCACCCCGCGACCGCCTCGGGCAGCGGGTCGGTGCCCCCCCGGCGGTGTGCCTGTCGACACCGATACACCTCGGCGTCGACCACCGCCTGGAGCTCAAATTGCACGACCCGCGCCAGGACGACCGCCGCCTCGTGAGATAGGGTGCGGTATCCCCAGGCGACCCTGACGGCCATACGGCGCTGGATGCTGCGCAGCAGCTGCCTTCCGCGCCGATAGATCGCCAGGTTAGGCGCCCATACGGGAGCCCCGTAGAGCGCCATCGCCCGAACCACACCCGTGTAGAGGCGGCGGACCCCCTCCCCCGGACCCCCGAGATTGGGCAGCAGACGACCCAGCAGGGTCGTCCCGCCCTCGATCCGGGGGACGAGGCGGCCAAAGTGGCCCTCCCACCTCAATCGGCCGTCCAGGTCGAGGCCGAGGTACTTCAGCCTCCCCCCGGCCTGGACGGCTGCCCCACGTACATAGGGCTACGTAGCCCTGCTACCATTTTAGTGTCAATATCCGACGTTACCGATAAAGCATGAATTCTGAGTATTATTAGCACAAATGAAGTGTTATATATTCCATTCATATCTATATGGTTTCACGAGAGTAAAAATATCCGATGCTTCAGTTTAAGGTTAATGGATAAATATGACAGTCATGAAACATGAAACGGAAAAGTATATATTTTTTCACTTAACTACAAGACAATTTATTCTAAATGCATCGTTAATGGACATTTTACTAATGTTACTTTTTACATGTTCTTGCTTTATTCGTTTTTATATCTTGCCTTACATTTGTATATTTATTACAGATAAATTCAGAATAGATGTAGTTTCAGAAAAAATAGTTTATCAAATCTACCTTTTGGCCGGCGGCTTACTATTTTCCTTGCGGGAATGCCTTACCGTAATGAGCAATCTCGTAGCCGCGGGATTCCGGGAATCGGGTGAGACGTCACGGCGTGCGAGCGAGAGCGGTAGAGCGAGCCGCGGTATCGGTGCTCTCCGTCGGTGCGACGCGTACCGAAGAATTTCGGCGGTCTATGGGGGGAAGTCTGCGAGCAAGAGAGTACGGTAGAGCGTGTCGCGCGCGGTATCGGTGCTCTCGGTCGGTCCACCGCGCTAGTGACGTTGCGTCACACAGTTTATTGACCTAGCCGTGTACGCCGTACGTGGCCGTACCATCTGGTGTTTGGGTCGTTCAAGGAGGAAGGTCGTTCAAGCCGGCAAAAACAATTCAACTCGAGCAAACGTAACAAAGAAACTAGCTGTTGTGTAATAACCTACGTACGCCCAATACATAACGGCGTTAGCTTCCTCACTTTCTCGTGAGCCGTCGCGGAGTGTGGGCGCGCGTCTCATACTCGTCCTTTCTCTTGTTACTAACCCATTGTGTGTTGCAGGTATTCAACAACCACCGTAGAAAGGAACCTGTTATTTATTGTGCATATTGTTAATTTATTTACTGTGCATATTGTTAATTTATTTACTGTGCATATTATTAATTTATTTACTGTGCATTTTATTAATCTATTTACTGTGCATATTGTTGTGTCCCCTCTCGTGTTACTAATCCCCTGTATGTTACAGATGTTCGAGAAGCATTGGCTTCGATATTTACTTCTTATGTACTGTGATTCAATTACTGTGATTTCTATAGTGTGATTTATTTACTGTGCATATTGTGTATTCTATGTGTATTGTATAATGAAAAATATTTTTCCAATCAGTTATTCCATCGAAAGAAGACATCGATCAACGTCTACATCCTCAAAGCGTCTACCATTGCGTTATGTTACTGTAAATTAATCTTAAATCACAATTCGAAAATTCATTGTTATATTCATATTCATCATCACATCGTAATGATAATTATTATTATTAATTTTAGTCTATCTATTAATAGACTTAATTTGCGACCATCCATTGTGCATACCAAGTTATTATTAATTCATTTTGCTCGTTGATTCTCTACACAGACTTGGGGTACGGGCCGTGAGTCTGTACCTAGGGTACGGGCAGTGGGTCTGTACACTAAGACTGTTTGCCGATCCCTCTGGTTTCTATTGAGAAGCCAGATATCGGACGCGTTTAGTCTTTGCCTGGTAAGTAGGATTTGCGGAAAGACTCGTGCGTGCAAGGGTACGGAGTAGATGGGAGTCTGCTCCGTAAACAGAGAATCTCGTTTGCACTATCATGCTTGTGTACTCCTTTGGTTCGGGTCTGGTACGCAGGTTCCAGCCGCATTTCGCCTCTCAGTCCCCACCGTGATCCCGGGACGACGGAAAACTCTTTCTTAGAGCCAATACACTCCACAGGGGTCACGGTGATAAAAACACAGGATCTGCGGAGGACAACGGACCGGGTGGGATCCGGGAA